GCCGCGGTTCCAGCCGCCCGCTCTGCCAGCTACCGAAATGAATTTGGGTCCAGAATTGCTACACTTAGATAGCAAGGAAATCATTTTATTATTATTGATAATAATTCATTATTTTTTGTCCTAAACCTCTGTTTAATCCCAAGGCAGCCAAGCAGCCACCCTGGGAGCGCTGCCGCGGCGCAGGGCGCGTGGTGCAGCCGGAGGTGCCGGCCATGTGTGGGGGCAGCCTGAGCCCTGGTGGCTGCGCTGGAGCTCGCAGTGCCGCAAGGGCGCCCGAGCCCCCCGAAAGCCAGAGGGAATCGGGGCAAATTGTCCTCGAGCCGCCAGCCATGGAAAACCGGCCATGGACAGGGACGCGCTCAGTGAGAAGGTCTTCCCTTAGGAAACCCAGCTGCTTGTGCCCCCTCGCACGGGAAGGCCTAGCCCTGTGCTCTCCTGTGGCCGTGTCACATACGTGATTTCTTTGGCTACGCTCCCTTATGCACAAGCTGTTCCTGCGTGAGCCTGGCTGTGTGCTGGTCATGGGGGGATCGGGTAGCAGCGAGCTCCCCAGGGCTGCACGGGGGGAAGCAAAATCTGCAGAGYGCGCGGGGTTCCTCTTACCTGCCAGACTCCCACACACGGACCCGCACAAGCTGCTGGGGGGATGCAGCCTGGGCCCAGTTCACTGCACCTTGCCTTGCTCTGGAGTAAGGAGCTAGCACAGGCCTAGTAAAGCTGTGCCCTGAAAGTGCCGGCCCTGCTGTGCTGAGTGCGAAGGGCACCTCGGACACATGTTTCTGACAGCACTACCACAGGAGCAGGTATCTGAAATTTAACGTGATGGATCCCTGGATTAACTTCTCTTTGTTAGCCGATGCAGTRTATTTTTGCATAGACCAGCCCAAACACAATGAAGAGTCCTGACACAATGTTTTTCTTTCCTTTTTCCCATTGCTACCTACAAATGCAGCAGCAGAGCAGAAAATGGCTCATTTTCAGAGCGTGGGCTTGATGCTGCGACCCATGTGCGCCATTTCCAGGCCTCCTCAGGGAATCTGCTTCCCACAGCTCCTGCCCTGGTAGCGCTGCGAGGAGGGAAGCGGTYTTCTCACCCACCCTGTCACGTAGCTGGAGACCCTGGGTCAGAAAGGAGATACTGATCTGGCTGGGATGGCTGCTCTGCTCACATGGCYGGGGGATCTCAGCTGCCCTGTGCCTCGGGGTCCAGCCGTGTTTGGGGCTGCTGCTTTAGCCTCCGTGCCGTGAGGCAGGACTTGTCTGTCGCTTGATCTCCCGGGGTCTGTGTGAGGCCCCTGTGTTGCACTGACCCCGGAGCACTTGCCTTCCTGGAGCTTCCCGCCTGTGTGTGTGTGCTGGACTGCAGAGCAGCCACTTTCCTTCACAGGCATCAGGCTCTTGCAGTCAAGCAGCCTGTCCACCCCGTGATTTATTGCACTGCCTCTAGCAAAGCACGTGCTGACTGTGGGCTGGTTGCTGGCCACGGGCTGTCCCCTCTCTCCCCAGCTGTGACATTTGCAGCATCGAGGCCCAACACTGCAGCAGGGCTGTCTCCATCCTTGGCCTGACCTTCACCTTTAGCCGCAGGATCCGAGTCTGTGGGGTCACTGTTTCCTCCCACTAAGATGTCCTTATCAAGAACAGTGTCATMATGTTATAACATTGATATAAGTGGTAGAAGGTGATCACAGACCAATTAATTACAGAGCCTTTTCTCTTTTTTGGAGTGACTGTGCAAATAAATGGCATGTTCTCTGCTTGCTTGCACAGMACCTTCATAATATGGCTGGACACTGAGCACAGAGCAGTCTGTGAAGTGCTGCAAGACCTCTCTGGTGACAGCGTTTTCCCACATCTGCCCACTGTGAGGTGCCAAAAATCAAGAAAGGCAGGAGGAGCCCTGGAAAACAATCTCCAGTTGCTGCAGTCTCACCTGCCTCTTGCCCCCTTCCAACTGTATTCATGGTGGGTGGCCCTGCTAGTRCCTGGTGTCCCCAGCTCCTGCGGGCTGGAGCAGGCAGCTTAGACTGCAGGGTGCCAGCCGAGTTCCCAGCAGGAAAATGGGAAGGGCTTCAATGCCGGTCTGAGCGTGACCAAGAGCTTGTGCTGTTTCGGGGGGGTCGGCAAGGCGCTCACGTGCAGGTGCATTTCACTGATGTTGGCTGGATCCGCAGCTCGTGTCAGCACTTCTGCTGCCGCAATGCCATTGTAATTGTAAAATTACACATTGTAGAAATTATAATGCAGTGCTATCTGGGGAGCAAAGCAGGCACTGTAATTCTCTTGGAAATGACTGCAATGACCCTTCTGGCAGGAGAAGAGAGAATGGGATGGAAGAAACTGCTATGTTGTAGGCTGGTTGAGTTTCAGGAGGATCAGTTGGTATTCTGGCGCTGTAGCCAAAAAGAGCGGGTCGTAGCTGCCCACATCTGCACAGCTCAGGGATGTGACTCCTTTGAGGAGAGCTGCTTTTGCACTGCCGCCCACGTGGGCCTGCAGGCACGAGGCCAGACCCTCAGGAGCCACCCACACAACGGCTCAGGGAGCGAGATGGCCTGGGCAGGGCAGAGAGGAACAAAGCCACGAAGAGGAGGGGAAATGACAGGTCTCCGAGGGGCATCAAGTTTGACAGCTTCAATTCCCACTGCTGCCACCACAAGCAGAATGATGCAGTAACTGCCTGCACCAGRGCTCGAGGGAGCAGCCGTGACTCATGGAGACCTGAGCCCCCTCACCTGTGCACCCCACGGGCTGCTAGCTCCCTCCCTCCCCTCAACAGAATCCCATCTATCCCCTTCAACTCTTCCCTTATTCCTCTAATTTTCAGGAAGGGGGAATTTCTAGTACAGCACTGACAAAATACTATGACTTTAGGTAGCCTCTATGTGCTAATGAATGCTTTGTTGTCATTTTATTTCCTAGGAAGGACTTCACCAAAATGAATGGGGTTTGGACATTTTTCAGTTTGCAGAAGACTGCCAGCAGGTAGAGGCTTTGTGACACAGGTAAGACTGCACACTGGAGCTGCAGTGTGGGCTGCAATTTGCAAAGTAATCCCTGTACTTCGGAAAACACAGTCCTTATCCAGACACGACAGCCAATGGTTTGAGATGGGGAAGCTGTCTTGAGTTAACAACTAGATTGTAACCCCCTTTTATAAAATGGGGCAGTTTGACTCCGATGTCATTGCAGTGGTACCACGGCACACATGATGAACTCGATGTTTTACTGAAGAAAATCAGTGGGCACTGGGGCATAAATACACCAGAGAGCTGAAACAAGAGTGACCTTTCTATCTAAAAACACAGGCAGCAGAAATGRAGAGAGCAGGAGAGGAGGATGTGTTCAGAGAGGGTTTATGTGAGAAGGAGATACAGAAAACCACAGAAGGCAGTGATCAGAATTACTTGCTTTTGTTCTTCATTTCTGCACTCTTCACAGGTCAGGGCCTCTTGGCCTCTTTATCTGAACTGATCTCAGTACGTGCAACAAGCTAAATATYTGTGATGTATTTACCATCTCAAATTAATTACTTTCTCTAAAAAGGAATGAGGTGAAAATGATCCAAAACGAGGTGAGAGACAATATATTCACAATGTCCCAATCGTATTGGGACAAGAAAAGATTCAAGAGAAACAAAAATAAATCCAATTTTCATGACATAGTTAAGAGCGCACAGTCCAGTGAATACCTTCCAGGTAAAAGCCACCCATTTAACAATCACACAGTTACAACTAGACACGTCTGCTACCAGCAGAAGATGTACCRCTAAGCTGGTGCAATAAAACCAGCAGTAAAAAAACAGGTTTTCTAATCCACAAGACAGCTTTGGACAAGTCTATTTAAAACCTGCTTGCAACCAGTTTCTCCATCTCCTGAACTTGCTACCCTGCCTAGTTATCTCTTCCTTCCTTGCAATTTCCAACATTTTGCCGTTGCACCAAAGTCTCCCAAGTACAATACTGCAGAGAATGGCAAGAAAAATATCCCACGTTTGAGAGAGCACTGATGTCTAAACAAGGTTGCYAAATTTACTCTTTGGTCAACATTAGGCCAGATGATCACACACATGCTTTGTGCTTTCTCATCCTGAAACCACTTAGGATTATTTTCTTCCAGTGATTTATCCTCATCACTGTAAGCACAAGGTCTGTTTGTTTTCATCTGTTTTCTCTTCCTCACTCCCTCTTCACTCTGTAGGGGTACAYTTGCCTTCTAGGGCATTCTTGCAGATTAAACATGGCTTATGTAAATATCTGGTTATTTCTACCCAGGGCATTTGTATAGAAGTTGCAGAAAGGCACCCAGAAGAAAATATAATGAGTGTGTAGGATGGACAAAATGCTGTCAGGGCCGAGGGACAAACCTCAGGGAAGCAGGAGGTGAGGATGTCGCTGCTCCCTCAAGGACAGGTCTGGCTCTGTGGGCCCCATCAGCTTTCCTGACAAAGCTATCAGGTTCTGGACGCTGCTTCTTCACCATACATATCTCTACACTTTATGGAAGTAGCCAACACTAACCATCCCCCAGAGACAAGGACTGCTCTGTGGAATAGTTGGCAGGAATAGTTGGCAATGCAGGAAAAGATGCAAGCAGGCACAAATAGTAGGCCTGTCTCCAAGTAGAGCAGGACAAGCAAGACTCAGTACTGCAGGGAAGTGCAATGCTGACACTCGCAGGAGACCCAGGTAGTGCAGCTGCCACCTGCTYGGGTTTAACAGCAAAGCAGAACACACACACACGCACACACCCTGTGTTCCAAGTTGTTTTCTTAACTCATCCAGAACAGAGCTCCCATTTCTTCTGCTGATCATAGTGACTATAGAGTTCTCCGCTCTATGTAGTGGCTCTTCAAAAATCCAACACAGCCTTCTTTTCCATTTCTATTAAAGTRCCAACCATGCTCAGTCATGTCCCTACCTCTAGGCTCTGGTTAGGAAGGGTAGTGATAAGCCTAAGGCATATAACTTCCAAGAACCCCAAACTTGCTTCCAGGTTGGAATRAAAATCCCATTCTAATCAGTGCTATTTATGAGACTCAAACTACAAGAACAGGCTCAGGCCCAGATGGGATTACCACCTCCTTTAACTGCATGTCCCAGCCTCAACAGAAGAAAGGACAGGGGGAAATTTGAGGAGTTTAATAAATCTTAAAACCTGAGGTCTATTGGCAGGAGGAACAGCCCATTTGAGGAGCAGCTACAGCAGCTTCCTCCTCTCCAGGCTGCCTTGGTTCACAGCTCATCCACATGTGCTCTTTCCATGGCAAGGGCTGAGCAGGCTGGGCCATGACAAGCACCTGCAAAGTTCTGGCCAGCTARGGTTAGTAATTTTGCCCTGAGCAGTCTAACCTTTTCAGTGTGTCATGGAAAAAGGAGAGTGGGGCCAGACCTAGCAAACACACTTGGCTTATAATTCCATGCTAGACTAACTTGCTTTCATTGATGGAATGGGTTTCCTCTTAACAGTTTTTGCAAGCTGCCTACTCTWTTAGAAATGGTTCACATCACAGAGCAAGCAGCAAATCCAAGGCAGCTTTCAACTCCAGTCTTTTTTTTYCCCCTTTCTTCAACATATAAAGGAAGCCATGTCAGGCAATCCAAGTACAGTCACTCAAGTGTCTCTRCCTCTGTTGTAAACTAAGGAAATTTGTTCATTGCTTAAGAGCCCAGATCACCAACTAATTTATTTAATCATGCCCCATACATGGGATTTTAGGCCATTTTACATATGTATTAGAAACTGTTTTACTAMAGCAAGACCAGAGATTTAACTGATTGAGTACTAAGTGAACATATACCTGTTTTTAGTACCAAAAAACTGATGCATTTACAATAGTGAGTCTTCTCTTAAAATTTCATCTTTTATTTACTCATCAAGAGCCAATAAGTTATATAAATCATAGCCATTTTCATCTCCTTACTGAAGTAGTCAACAGAATTATATTTTTTATGCCGACTGGATAGCGCATTGTATCCTTAGAATGAATATGTTTGTCCTTTTTCCTTTTCCCTCCCAACACAGCCTTGTTAGGGCCGCTACCCTCTGGTGCAGATTTCGGTGCAGCCTCTTATACAGTACGAGCAGGGGCTGCAGCTGCCCCGGGTGCCCACGGGGCCGTGTCCCTGTCACGGCACTCGGTGCGGTGCCGGTCCAGGGGGACACGTGGCGGCCACGCCAGCCCTGCTCCTTCACAGCAGCCACCAGCCCCTGCTCGAGGCCGAGGCAATGATTCCATCTGACAGCTGTTAAACCAAATACTTGTGTATTTAATCAGGTTAAGAGCTCGGCTAAGTTAAAACGTTAGACAAACGCGCACACAACCCCTGTCAAGGACAACGAACCGAGGCAGCAGSATTGCCTTACCCATGCTTTAAACCGTGTCTAAAGCAACTTAGAAACAAGTACAATTTAGGATGCTCATGTAGAACTTAAACAGTGATTTTTGTTTGCTTTTCCTAGTACAAAGGGTTTCCAAACACTTCAGTAACTTATAACTAGTCCCAGTTACCATTCTCCCCTCTGCTTTTGAAGCAGGTATTTTGCTTTGTATACCCAGAGTAGTTTTAGTTTGTTCCATAACACAAGGCAAACTAGTTTTCATCTCATGGTAACACACAAGAGCACGTTAGTCTTGCTCCTCCTCTTCGCCATCCTCATCTTCATCCGCCTGATCTCCAGATTCAATATCATCCTCATCTTCAACCTGCAAATAATAAAAATCTATTGTGAGAAATAACATCTTATTCTGATCCAGCTTTTTCAAGACAGGACAGATGCTTAAGGAAGGAAAGTAAGCTTAAAGCTAACTGAAGCACGCTGCTCTGKACTGAAGAATTCTTATGTCAAGGCAGTTGTCACCTTACAATGTCACTCAGCTTTTATTTTCTCTGCTGGAGACACCTAAGGGTGCAGACACCTTTGTTCAATGTTCAGTTCTGTCCTTAACATTTGGGCAAATAATTTTATGCTTCCACTTCCCATAGGGCTGCAGGCACCAACATCAGCTCACTTCAGTAGGGTGGCTGAGGATGAAGACACATCCAGGCCTGTGCACTGCCCAACCATGAGTGAAGCTGATGGTTTCCAGCAGTACCTTCCCTCAAAGTCYACTAGCTCTGAAACACTCTTGCTACACTGCACGGTCTACACTTGCTAAAAATAACATGAATATCTGTAGAGGAAAGATGTACTTTACAGGTGTAGCTAAACCAAACAACTGGTCACTACCAAGTAGTTAACCTTCTTTAAAAAGGTAAAGCATTTGACTGACAGACATGATGGCCTGTGGTAGGAAGTCGCACACACCCAGGCACATACACAACAACTCGTTTTCTCACACCAGGTAGGCAGATATATCCAAGCATCCCAAGGCAAACACCTTTTCCRTGAGGCAGTCATCGTCTCTTCTTTCTGGCTACCACTCTAAAGTGAGAAAGCAACTCTGGCTGCTTCGGCAGCCCCTTGTTCACCTCAGGATGCCTCCAGCTTGGTGGATATCATATTGCTTCACCCAGATTGCCCCCAACCTGAGAGCTTCTGAGAAGTTTTGCTCACCGGTTCACCAAGCTCCTTCAATTTGTTCTTCAGTGCAGATAGTTTCTGATCTTGGTCAGCCAGAAGCACTAGGAGATCATCCTGTTCTTTYTTTGATTCTGCAACTTCTTGCTGAAGTTTGCTTTTCTGATCTTGCAAAATGGCAACCGTACTGTTAGATGAATCCAAGTGCTGTTTCAGTGATGCCTTTTCTTCAGAAAGAGCTTTGACYTCATTCTGCCAAGAGGAAAAACCCACAGCAAGTTACACCATGAGCAAAGGAACAGCTGAAACCTCAATTCATATGAACATGCTCCATAGATTAATCGTAACAATTCCACTTCACTAGTGCTCTGCAGCCTCATTTCCAACCTCCCTACCTAAATTCCACTCTTCTCACCTCCCCTCTAACTAGCTAAGAGCAATGTGCCAAATACTGTGGCTAGTTTTGATCTGCACGTGTGCATATCACAACTGACCAGCGCCAGGCTGAACTGAACGCTTTTCAACAAAGTCCGCTCCACAGCTTCCTCTGAGTAAAGTCTAGTTCATCCACTGTCCACCTTGGATTAATGAACAGCACTCAACCCTAGTGTCAACCTTTTGAGGAGCCCACCCCTCCCCTGCACATTTGGCTGAAGAACTCCCAGCTGACCTAAGGTTACTCACAGGCCTAAGGCTTCACAGAAGCTGAAGGAGAAGGGAGATGCAGGTTCCCTTATGTAACCTGAAGTATGAGGCACTAAGAGCATAAAGCTCCCCTTCCACCCAAAGCCTTTGCTACTGTGCAGGTCATAACTGAAGGCTGGTTAGCAAGAGACTTGAGGCTTGGTGCTTGTCCACTACCAACCTTGAGTTCTTTCACTTCTTGCAAAAGTCGTCCTTCCACTTCAGAGTTCTTGGCTGTTGTGGCCCCACAGTCTCCCAATACAGGATCTGCAGCTGCATTCTGTGGAACAGAAATATATGATCAGGTGCACCGAATGCCTCATACGCAAAGGCAGCAAGCCGAGACATCACACAAGAAGTTGCAGATGTTAAAAGCATATTTTGTCATTACAGCACAGCTAAGGTGCTGCAGACATCCTGCACTGGAAGGCACAGGAGACAGGCCTTTCCTTCCTGGGGTGTCTCACACAGCTATGCGCATAGACACATACACAAAAAGGAGAACACAAAACTTGACCTTCCTTGCACAGAAAGGATCTGATAGACAGGTAATGTGCCCACAATAAACTAAAAAAATCACTAAGCTTTATACAAGTACTACCTAAAGTGCCAAAGATGTTTTATTAAGCAGAAACTTGAATCCTTGCATGTTACACTGCTAAAGATGGCAAGTTTGTTCTCAGTCAGCCCTTCCCAAAGTTAACACTTGCAATATGTGGCAGCTGTCTTGTAATTCAACTGAAATGATCAGCATTGCATGAATGCAGGACCAATGCCTCTCCAGCTGCAGCATCCCTAGGTCAAAGCTCCCGGAGCAGCAGGCAGTCTGCAGGATRGCAGGGAGGCAGGGTGACAACTGGAGGCAACAGGAGCACTTCAGTGTGGCTCACCAGCACACATGGCCAACACATGTGACAGGATCTTATACCAGAGCAGCTGAAACTTTATGCCAGARGCCTTCCTTGCTCAGATGATCTTTACATTAAACCTTTGCTATTTTTCTGGAGCATGTCTGATAATATTAGTTAGACTTCAGCGTGCAAGTCGGAGCAAACCTTTCCATTACGTGGCCCACGCTCCTGCAACTTGGTCCATGTGAGCCTCCTTAGGGAAACAGGACCCTGACACATTCATGCAAGTCGCCAGCTCAGCAGAGAGGTTTTAAATCTCTCAAGCTCTGAGAAGACTATCMGATTTATTTAGCTACTCCATCATGCTTTCTCCACAGTTCTTTTCAACACACAACTAAGCTCTGAAGTATTTCAGTATCAGCACAGATTCAACTACCCTGTTCGACATGCATTTGCATTTAAGCTTTCAAAATAGTATCTTTACTACATTCACTATGTTTTCATAAAAGGCAGGTCTAGGAATTCCGTCGTGTCATTTAAAACACTGCTGGAATCACTTCCTGATGTGTATTGTTAAATCAAGTTTGCTTTAGAACAAGTGGCCACAGGCAGCACAAGCTGGAAAGCAAGCTTAAGCTTCGGTCCCCAAAGTGAAGTCATTGAGTCTGGCACGTACCAGTAGCTGAAGCTTCTGATTCTCAGACTGAAGCTTAGAGATCTCTGTAGACTGCAGCTGTATCTGACTCCTCAGAGTTTCTAATTCCTTTGGTTAACAAAAAAAAAAGCGTCATCAGCCAAGTTATTTGAAGTAACAAGATAGAATTTTCACATTACGTTTTTCTTAATTCAAATGCTAACATCTGCACTCTACACTGCYCCACATCAGTGGTATGACAGGACACTCACAAACATCTCTCATGAGAGCTTAGCAGCCACCTCTAGAGGAGGAGACTTATGAGGCTCACTAATACTTACAAAGAGTAACAACGCTSTAAAATATAAAGAAAAAATTTTAAAAGGCAAATAAAGAATAGTTTTGTGTCACAACACTAGCACTCCTGTGAATATGCTCTATGTGTATCTGTTTAACCCCTTTAAGGCCTCATCACCTCAGGAAAAATTAGCTTTCAGAGCAGGGAAACATTGCTCAGCATTTTGGGAGCAAAAGCCACCTTGACTAATTGAACCTCTTTTCTGTGTTGTACATCTTATACTTGGAAGCTCTCTTATCAACAGGTAAATAAGGGGTTTGCTTTTTCTGCTGACCCAATTCTGCTTGTCATAACATAAATTTTTGGACACACCATCTTGATGCAAGGATCAATACTATCATCATAAACCAGGGTGATAAATTTAAAATAGCAACATGCTCAGGGATCCATCCTGCACCCTGAAACATGACACAAGTCCCCTCCCATCCTGAGCTATCACTGTTGATCACGGCCTGGTCACATGGAGATCAGTATCAMGATTGGGTAGTTCAAGTTCACCTTTTGTAGTTCATTGTTGAGTTCTGAACCACCAGATTTGCCGGCCTGTGAAGACTGTTCTGTTGTTCCCATCTCCAACTGTGAAGACTTCTGTAAGAGCAACAGGAAACAATAAGAACAGGAGTAACAACAACAGCCAAGTCAATCATAAAACTAATCAGACTAAATGGGAGTCACTCCAAGTTCTGCTTAGCATTAACTCTTACCAACTTCTCAATCACAGACTCTTTCTCCCTCAGCTGTCCTTGCAGGAGTTCATGCTTATTCTTCCATTCTTCCAATTCCTCTTTCAGTTTGCTTACTTCTTCCAGCTGGATGCCATTCATCTGAAACGTTTCACCATGAGAGTTATGATGCTGATTGTCCTTTCCTGTGGGACAAAGTTTACAGCAAAGGTTACAATGCTGACAGGATTTTAAGGTTAGCTTCAGAACACGCAAAGGAAAGGATTCTTAGCTTCTCCTCTTGCATGGGACAAAACAAGCCATTCCAACTACAGGAAGAAATTGTAACACTGAAAAATGGGCTAGAAAACACTTACCAAGCAGCTATAATTTGCCATTGCTTAAAATATAGACTTACGGCCACATCTACGTGCTCCGTTAGGAAGCTGGCAAGCAACATATTGCATAAAGGAAATGCAACTGTGTCCTTACAAACTTTTAATAACAGCTTTCAAATGCAAAATTACTTCTACACATGCCTACGGCACATGGAGCTTATCAATGATCTTCACCTTGAATTAACTCACAGATACTGCTTGGGCTTAAGCACTCTGCTTGCTCTCTCTTTGCTAATATTATTATGTCTTACTCTGTGTATCTGCTGGACCATAATTCTCCCACAACTCACGCTTTCATTCACCAATCCAAACTTGAGTGCACAGCTGGACACATTTGTTTATATTCTGAGCTTTAATAGGCCTGATAATTTTGGTCTAATGGAAGAAATAAAGTTGTAGAAAGCCTTTACCAGCTTTCCAAAATCAAGAAGGAATTACAACACATGCACTTACCAAATTATCCTCTCTGTTCTCACTGTGTATTTTGGAATTGGAAAGCATTTCCAAGAACTATTTTTACCAACATCTGATGAAAAAACTATTTGTATTGCTTAAATTSAGCTAAACAAACCCTAACCAACAAATTCACACATTTAACTCTGTGGAAGTTATCAGCTGCAGAACAGCACATTGCAACATGCCTGTAACCTAAAAATGTTGGCTGAAGCTGTTCTGTAGCTTTCCATAAATAAGACACGATCTTGAACATGTGTAAGATGATTTTTATTCTTTGAGGCACAGCATACCTAACTGTACTTTAAGGAGGTTATACTGGTCCTTATGCTGTTGAATCTGCGATACTTGTTGTGTAACTGTAGTTTGAAGCTGTTCGTTTTGAGATTTTAAAGTGTTAATTTGTTGTTTTAATTCTTCAAGTTCTTGGTCCTATAAAAGAAAGAAGTTACAATATGACAAAACATATTTGTGTGCAGTACTGCAAGCAAAATACAAGCAGAGTAAACTGTATTCCATGAAATCACATCACCGGTTAGCAATGCTGTCAAGTGTCATCTCCTCCTCGAGCTACATTTGTCACCTTCTGAATTTCTAGCTTGCCCATTGCTCATTTCAGAATTTCTGGTTCTTTGTGGTCTCTCCCGAAGTCATTTGGGCAACTTCCAAGGGGATATATACAGTGCAACTCCCTCTTACCTGCTCTCTAATGACTTTTTTATAGTGAGTCACAATATTGTCATGCTGTTCCAATGTCTTCTTAACCTCCTCCTCCTTTTTATCTTCTTCACTGGATTTATAAATAGCTTTACTTATGACACCTGTCAAAAACAGAGTTTAACTAAGCTCATGGTACAAGAAACACAACCCGCACTTGAAAAAGGCAGTGCTCACAGACAAGTTTAAGAAAAAATGAAAAGTTACTTTTGCAGAGCCCTTTGCCAGGTTTGATGCTAGTCAAGAATATCAAACAGAAAAACGGTAAACGACAGGAAAACATTAAGTGCTAAGGAGGCTCACATATACTGTCTTTTTCATAAAGGACTGAGGTAACTTTTCTTTACAAGGAGAAAGTTCCTCTCTCCCCCAACAAGGGGACAGAGTATTGCACATTATCTTAAGGAAGCAGCAGCAACAAAGAGGTAGGTTCTTTGTGCACTTGCACAAATGAAGCCTCTCCAACCATCTTGTTGTGTGCTTTCAAAAGGCATAACCCTTAACTCACTGCAGGAGCACAAGTAAATCAACTTCTCACTCCCAATGGGATGACTCACAGCAAACATTAACAAACATCTCACAGCTTAACATGATCTGATTATTGTCAGCTGTGACCACGGACTTCTATTTTAGCAGAATAGTTAAACCTCACCCATGAGTCTATTATTGGCTATAGCAGTTATTGCAACATCATTTTCAGTACATACTATTTTAATATGATCTTACTACTTGTGACAGAACTAAACTGAACACATTTATTAGGTCCCTCATCAGTTGATCACAGTAACTACTGATAGGAGCGCGGGATACATCACCTTCCAATTCCTTTACGAGCTTAGTAAATTCATGATCAAACATCATGTGGTCTGGGCTGGAGAAGCTGGGCTGGGGTTTCTGAGCAGCTCTGGAATAGAGTTCGTGTTTGCTAATAAAGCCAAGCTTCTCTATGAAGTTTTCCCTGCCAATCCGCTTCTCAATTAGCTGCTTCAGCTTCTCTCTGAAAAGAAAAGTGACAGTCAACCACAGCACAACAGCCAAAGAGAAATGAACCAACTCTGCCTTCAGTATTTCTTTCTGCTACAAATTATCATCTTTCTCAACTCCTATCTGCATTAGATGTTTAGGATCTGAAAGCCAGGCTTTTGCAGCATGCCACGGTCTTGGTCTGCTCTCAGGCCAAGAACAAACAGGTTAGAAAGAACTAAGCAAAACCACCATGTATTTGGCCTAGCTAAAGGTGAAGCAGGTGTTTTGTACCCCTAACCAACATACTTGGAGCCCCAATAAACAAGCACACAGAACAGTTAATCCCAGCACTCTTCAGGCTGCACTAGGGCAGTTCAAGCCCCTTAAACCACCACCCATCTACCTTACACACCATCCTGCCCTACAGTCATCTCATTCCTGTACCATACTTACTTCCTATAATTTTCAAGGGAGTTGTCATTGTAGTAGATGGAAATGCCCAGCARAAGTGCACACAGGCCTTGGACCAGTTGCTCCTCTTCTCCAAGGTTTTCAGCTATCTGTCCTGTGAGCTGGACCTCTCGTTAAGGATATTTGAGATATTTCATGTGCGCAAGTGCTTTTTCCTCTGTCACGCAGCACGCCAGCAAACTCATCTACACAAGCATTTCAGTGCAATGTGAATRATCCCAGGAATTCCTAGGTAAGTGCTTCTGCTCTGCAAGCAGGTTAAGGATACAAAAGGAATATTGGCTGGGTTGTGAAGGAAGTGTGTGACAGCAATGGAGCAGTTGCTCAGCCAGGTACAAAGCAACATCAATAGTCCAACCCTTGTTTGTACTTTGCTGCCCTGAAAAGAATGAAAACTCATAAAAAATCATTATCTTGCCATAACAGAGGGCTAAAATATCAAAAAACCTGCACTGATCCAGAACTCACCCATTTTCAACTTAGCTTAAAAAAGTTGTTTTCCATAATACCCATTTGTTAGTTGAAAGGAACACAGCTTTAGTGCTTTGATGAAAAACATGAAGTCATTCCTAAGTTGGAACTGTTTTCACAGCAAGTCAACAAGCAACACACATGTGAGATACAACTCAACGCAAATTAGCACCAATTTAAAACCCTAACAAGTTAGTTCTGTATTTACAATTAATACTAGGGTAACATGAGAAAAGATATATACACAATACCTGTAAAGAAGGGACAAATAGGACTTCCTATACAAGGAGATACTAAACATCTCCTCCATTTGCTGCCRCCTACAAATTTCTGTGTTGCTCAAACACCACAAGTCATGAAATGTAGCAGTGAGGGAGCTGTTTATTTAGGCAAAGGAATATACGTTAAGCCACCAGGGAGCAACATAAGATACCCGACCTGCAGTAAGTTTTATTTGTCAGGGAAAGTTAGTTCTCACCTGAATTTTGATTTTAGGTTCTTGCTCATGCACGGAACACATGCACTGGTTGCATGCAGAAAGCCTGTAGATGGTTTCCAATACAAAATACACACTTGCAGTCTTAAACCCATGTCAAGAAAACCTGTCGTATTTTGAAGATGTCACGCYATCTAAAGTACTGACAATCTAAAGAAACAACTGATGTAACAAACTRATGCAGAGGTCCAAACACTACTCAGACTGCATCTGTTGGTATGGCAATAGCTAATGCCTCAGAAACTACAAAACTGAGCTTTTTTCCACCATTTTGTCTCCCTCTTTGCTGCAGATATTATGGCCATGCKAGGATTAAGGCAGGCACGTGCATCTTCACAGACGGCCCATCCTCAGAGAGGATATCAAGCAGGAAACTCCCTGCATGGAAAACAAACCTTCAAACAAGCACCTAGTAAGCTGGGTAGAGGAACTGGAAAAAAACCCAGCTGAAGTCTGGGAGGCAAGAGGAGGTACTGGGAACAGCTGGGATAGGCTCCAGGCAAGGATGGAAGACCACAGCGGGTCAATGGCCACAGGGGTTTCCACTCCGGATCAGGCATTTCTAATGCTCCACCAATGGAAAAGGGAGCACTTGCCTCATGACCCCGCCATGACTTCCAGACACATGAATCAGGGAACATCCAAAGAGCAGAGAAAGCAGCTGTGACCACCAGCCCATCCAACACCTCCTTTTTGTTTCCACAGTAAGTACCAAGTGCCCCACACGCCAATAGCCACGGCCCTTGTCTTTGCTGTAGACAGACTCAGTGTACTCCTCGCTGCTGAGCTTCTGGCCGCTGCCCTGACCCGTTTCCATGAGCTAGATCTCACTGAGCTGCCTCAACTGCCATGAGCTCCATTCTCATCCTCCTTTTTCCTGTCTTAAAAACCAGCCCATTTAAGCTTTCTCTGTCTTGAATGAGCTGTGCATCTCCCCTATCCTCTTGTCCCTTTCTTTTACTTCATAACCTGCCTGGACTACATTTTGTAATCTTTGCTTATAGATAGCAACTTATATCCAAGGCAACCTGCTAATGACACCCTCATGACACTGAAAAATGACACAGCTTCACCTGCTGCAGAAGCCTTTCAGGGAGCAGGCCCCTAAGCGCTGTTGCATTAACACCACTAAGCCCTGCACACCCCACCTGCCAACACCATGATCCAGCAAGCTGCGCAACTGCCCGTTTTGCATTCAGACCTTTTCTGTTGGAAGCACAAAGCTGTATTGGTTCGTGTGGCTTGGCATTGCCAGGACAAGTCACCCTCTGAGAGCTGCTGCCTCCCTCTTCCAGGAGCTCRGCATGCTGTACCSAGGTCAGGTTGGCACTTGCAGCCARTCATTTCCAGGAGGTCCAAAACGCCCTCTCTCAAAAACSAGCAGGCAGCTCCAGACCCAGCCCTSTTCTTGTAACTCCKGCTGCAACAGCCCACAGCTCGGCAGGGTTGCTCTGCAAGCCAGGACTGGACACAGTTCAGGCCCACGTCTCAACACAGCTGTGACAAATACAGCAAATAAAGCAGACAGCAGCACAAGATGAAAAACTGCTTTGCTGCAGATGATGCCTAGCTCAGTAACTCTGCAAGTAACAGGGCCTCAAAATCAAACAGCACTTCAGGGCTCACAGGCTACTCTACAGATCCCTGCTGTTTACAACCAATATGGTCACAGCTAAAGCCCCCAAGAGCTTTCTCCGGAAAGCAGAGCGTACGAGTGGATGGAACACAAGTTAAACTTGGTTTTTCTTTTACCAGTCAGGAAATAATCAGCAGGTTCCCATTCAGGTTGCATCAGCCGATTGCTACAGACCCATCTGAGGAAATACTATTTCTAGCAGTGTAATTTTTCTGACAAGAAAGTGCATCTAATTAGGTGAATAGCTGGTGAATGTATATGCCCCACTGGAAAGAGAGCACCCATGCTACCCAAGGTCTTTATCCCATTTCCCTGGAGCACCCTAGAGACAGAGGAAGTTGGTTATGSTAGGAAAAAATCCCAACTGCAACACAAAGCTGTAAGTGGAAACACATCCTCAAGCAGTTAAAGAATCCCCCCAAGCAAAACCCAAGACAGGAGGAAAGGGCCTGCTTGTGGCAAGGCAATGCCCAAGCTGTGCCAAGAAATACATACCCGTCTGTCGATCTTATCCCCCTGCAAGTTACACATGCATTACTGGAGAACTCTTAGTGGAAAAAACACATTTCAGAAACATCCCCCAAGTTGGAGCCCCTTGTATTACCTAAGTCTAAAAAGCCACAGGCATTTTTATTGACTCAAACTCACATTAACAGACAAAAGTGTGGGGAAAAGGACAGAGAGAGSACTGTCTATTCTCAGGGAAAGAGGCTCAAATAAGTGACACAAATAAAATCTAAATTAGAGCCTTCTGCCATTGATGGCATAACTGCATAATCACCAGTTAACTATCTCCTTACTGCAGTCATTTGGAAGAAGAGAACATATTACAAATGTATATGTCACAAGGTATGCTACCTATAGACTAAGTATCATGGTTGCCATTTGTAAAGCCAGGTGTTACAAAGCTGAACAATGTCAAGCAATGCTTTTTATTGACACAAACAAATGAGCATCACTATGTGAGCACTTGGTATTTTAAAGATATTTCTGTTAGCAGCTATGCATTAAATGCTCAKCAGGCATTTCCTGCAGCAGAATATAGAAAATGAGTGGGGTCCTGCCCATCTGCCATGTCTTTTACGCCAAGGCAAAGTTCTAGGTGCTTTAGGATCCCCTACCTACTGGTATTAGTAAAAGTTTGCTCCTCACAAGGCAAAAAAGCTATGACCCATACAGGTTTTAAAAGTGGCCTTGCAAAAGCCTTCTGTACTGTGCCCAAAGTGTCCAAACCTTCCCTTCACTACACAGTGAAGCTGTCTTGACATAAGACATTACTTATTTTTCAGACTGAAGTGATTTTCAGTTAGTGTCCATTGTTGATCTCATGAGCAAGGAAAGACAGGCAGTAATAGTAACTTTCAGTTCAAGTCCTTKACTTCACAAAGACAGCAGCATGTAAGTTGCAAACACTGACGGACATCAACATCTCCGCTGTGTTTTCCCTTCCATTTTTATTTCCAAGTGCCCTCAGGAAAGGCCTGCATCTCAGCATGAGGGAGAACCCTCCTCCTCACTCAGCTACCGCCGGTGCGCTGCCGTGGGGCAGCCTTTGGGCCAGCCCCGCGGCTCGGGCGGGCGCCGTACCTGCGAGAGGATGTTGGTGCACTGCTGCAGCAGGGACACGGGCGGGTTGCCGATGCTCGTGGCCAGCTGCACCCTCAGCAGCTGCTCCTTGAGGGGCGCGTTCTCCTGCAGCGCGTGYGCCAGCGCCACGGCGGCGCACCAGTTGGACAGCGAGTCCGTGGAGAAGAGGCCGCCGCAGAGCAGCTGACCCGCCGACACCGAGTTACCTGTAGCTGCCAGAGGGGCCCAAAGGGACCAGTTAGACCACAGCAAGCGACAGAGACTCTACAATACACAAGACAAGCGGCCCATGGAAACCCAGAAGAAAACTGAGGGGCATGTGTCAAGTTGAGTGAAACCAYAAGCCAAATTCTGGCTTGACACCCCCAAGCAAATAACCACTTTCACATACGACTTGAAATAATACACGAAAAACACTTGCTAGAAAGGGGTGGTTCTTTCATACCGTCTATAGTGGATGGCAGAAGCGTAGAAACTATCTCTCCTTGTCCTTTTTGGTTTTTGTATAAAAAGCACTGGAAACAGTAGAGAACGGCACAGCGCAGCACAAAAGGCTGCCTTTCATTTACCATGGACATCAGAAGAACTACAATTGCAGGTCTGTGGGGAAAGGAAAGAGAAAAAACATYAGCGCCAAGTTGCCCAGCTGCAGGTATCTAGACGACACGTACAGGGTAGGAGTGCCAAGATCTGCTGCGACAACTTCTGCATCACCCGCCAAAGGTATGTGACACTGGGACCCCATCACACAGCCAGCAAGGAAACAGCACATCAGTGGAATCACATCTGCCCAAGGAAGATTTTGYCTTCTCCATCTACTGTCATTTCCAACTTCTAAATTTAATATATATTTTTTTCCCAATGGAAGTTTTCCTCATAAAACAAAAAACAGCTGATATGCTACATTTCACTGCTGTGAGCCAGTGTTCATTAGCTGTTTTTATTTCACACTGAGTCCCATTGCTTCTCCCAGGTTGCTACAGGAGCAGCACAGAGGATTCCTCAGTGGTGACCAYAGTCACATTGAAATTCGAAGGCAAAGCTCTCTCACCTTGTCACTGCCCAATCTGAGTTAACAAATTGCCCGGTTTTCTTGGCCTCTATGTTCTCTTGTAGACAGTCATCTAGCAGCAACAGCTCTGCTTAAYGTGGCTATTACTAGCTACTATATTACTTTGCAGATACGACCTAACATTTTTGAGAGCAGCTCTAGCCCTCATCTCTCTGGAAACAGACCTGGCACCTAACGTGTGAACTCCCAGCTGAGTGAAGTTCACGAGTGTGAACTCGGAGCTGTTTCTATGTACTGGAACTCCCAAATTCAAAATTAAACAATCCTTTGGGTTACACTGCAATCGCCCATACCAATACATCATTACCTAAACAAAGTTAAACACTTTTCTTCCTCTACCTTGGTGGATTAGAAGGTGCATTTACAGAGGCAAAGTAGTCCTGATTTATCTGGCATCCTCGAATGACTTCTGATACTGTATTAATGGTCTACAGAAATGGCAGGGAAAAAAACAAGAAAATGGTTAAATGTGACAGCCTAATTCATGCACCCCTCAATTATCTAGCCTGACAGCTCAGTATTGAAAAAATATATATCAAAACCTAAATACAGAGATTTAGACAAAAAAACAATTGCAGGAGTTAAACCAAGCAACAGTCTCAGTTTGAAGCTTACCCAAGAAAGGTTAAATTAAGCGAGCAAATCCAGGTACTTCCTGATTGGGAAGTGATTTATACTACAGTTGCCAAGTACAGTTGCCAAATATAATGCCAAGTACTATCCTCAGTATGCATTCCCTGGGTAGGAGGCAGCTGACGTGTCTGGCACCTAAGAGACCTTCCTGGCAAACTGCACAATTTCAGCTGGTCCCTGCAACAACTGCTACCCTGAAGGCTCTTGGTTTTGCTCCATTTAGTCACCCCCATCCCTGCTTGTACTTGCTCCCTCTTACTTCTGTCAGGATGTCAGCTGGAACCCCAGTTGCCATGAGGATTGTGCAGAGCTGCTGTAACAGGCCACAGTGGAACATGGCCTTCTGACAGCTGCTCGTGGCGCCGGGAGGATTCGTGGGAGAGACGAGAACCCGCACGAGCTGGAGGGAAAAACACAGAGAAAGCTTGAGAACTATGAAACCACAGCACAGAAACCTCACCTGTTTTCCAAATTAGCCACAAAACAACAGCTCTTACAGGATGAACTTAAGACACTAAAGGAGARCATTTTCATCACCTTAGCACTGTGACCATTTGATTTTAAGTTTCATCCAGCTTCACACCTGAGGTCCCCTCAGGTGTGCTTTATAAAAAAACATCCCTACCTGAATATTTAACTCATAGCACTGTTACTTAAGTCACAGCAGTGATTTGRAAGGGATTTGAAGTGATTTACTATGCCACCCATCACTAGTTTACACCTTTGCAACAGTGGTTGTGCTCAAAGTAGCAACTCTCATGAATGCTTGTAGGCTAACACAGAGCTACAGAGAGGACATGGAGTTCCCAGGTAACTGTTCCAATGCCTGTCATGTCCACTGCTACAGTACAAAAAAGCTGACACTGGCACTAAATTAGACATCAATTGTTTTACCTGCAGCATTAGGTGAAGATTAGTCACTTTCTGTGCAGACCAACCACAGTTGTCATCTCCAACCTCAAACCAAGGCTTCATGCGCTGGATATAAGAGCCTTCCTTGAAAAAATTCTGATTGGAATTATTATTCTTCAATAAATTTTGAAGTAGGAGAAGACAGTCTTCCACTACAATTCCTTGGGAAACAAAGGATAAAGGAGGATTAAGCAACTGAATGACACACAGGAAAATTACTACATTCTAATTATTTCAACTGAAAGCTGTGAAGAACATGGATGGAAAAATACAATCCAGCATGGCTGAAAATAAAGTACATTCATCCTTATCCAATATATTTCCTAGAAATGAAGTGCTGTCATAGAAGTTCATCCCTAAGTCTAAAACAAAAACAGTATTCRCAAAGACTACATTGTTTGTATGGTACAGAAGCTGGGCTGGAGGGGACAGCACTTCAGAACAAGCTTCAAAATCTTTGTGGCCTGAGTTGATAGCAACTTCAGAGTCACGTTACACCAACAGCACTTCATATTTTAAGAACTAAAATCCAGTTCCTCTTCAACAGCATCAGGACTCACGTGCAGCAGTTCATACTGGATGACACATTCACCATCTGMAATCACTGCCTAAAATGTCAACCCACTTCCAAGTCGATGGCATTGTTTATTCCTTGCGCTTGGGAAAAGTGAGGCACAGGCAGCACCTAACTTGGGAGTGGGAGACCAAAACGCTGCTGCCACATTCCTGTCTGTCTCCTGCTGCCCAGGGCTATGGCTGCTAATCCAGCCCTCAACTGGGCCACCAACAAGAGGGGTCAATGTGCAGGACACTAGAAAGTAAAGAACTCCAGGCACTCAGGAACTGACGTACCAAGTCCCCTTTCTTCTCTGCTAAAATTACTACCCAGCTAAAAATAGCTGCTTTGAAACTAAGACTTGCTGAATCATGCCATGACAAGATAGCTGGAATAATTCTTCTGGGAGAGCAGCAAGCTGTCAGAAGGAAATAAACACACACATAGTTAAGCGTGCTGCAGAATTTCTACTCATCTTTTTTCTCTTCTTTTTCTGGAACAGGTAAAGATTTTACAAGGAGCTCGCCAGACAAATGAAGCCAGTAGTGAAGCTGAAGCTATGGAAGACAGCGAGCTGCTGCCCCCGGCCACCCCAAGCATCTGAGGATGCTGCAGGAACAACACAGACCCTCTGCTCGGTAAGTGACAAGGGGGACACATGCAGACCTGACACTGCCATTCAGATATCTATGTTTGCAGACATGARCCAGACAGGATCTTACTGACACACATGCACGCTCAGAGAAACGAACAACCATCAACAATTAAAGCAGCACTGAAATATTTTCCTGTACCTCCATCACTGTTTCCTTCTTCTGTAATGATATCCAAGAGTCTCTCAAAAGCATTTTCAAAGGCCACAATCTTCTGAATGGCTGCATTACTTTTAGTCAGTTGCTGTAACAATAAGACTCCCTGGAGGGGCAGGGGAAGAGCAGTTAGGCTTAGTTTACAGGAAGAACACCAGYTGTCAAAACCTCACAGGCTTCTGGAGGCTGCTACCTCAGCAACACTGGCCAGAATCACAGGGCAGAGCCCCACGCTCTGCCRTTTGGCATGTCCATGGTGGGTTACACTGCACACTACAGAATATGCATGCTTCTGAGCATGTTCAAACACAGTGCAACAGCAAAGACGAACTATACACAAGAACAATCTGGTTATAAAAGATATGAAGTGCTTGACCAGCAAGTACAGMTTATCTTGATAAAAAGGAAGAAGGAAGTGGACCTGACATAAGGCTGACAACATCAAATGACAGTAGCCTAAGCAATGATCAGAGCTTGCACGAAGCACACAGTAACAGCTTGTTGCAGTTCTTCATTGCCATGAGATGCCCAACGAGAGCCTCAAATTCAATTGAAGGCTGAAATATTTCTCATTAGCAATCAAGGTGCTTTCTTGACATGCATTCACTTCATCCAAACTCYGCCCAAGCACACAGCCATTTAATCACCAGTTGCTAATTACGAAGAGGGTTTATAGCTTCCCCTCCTGACTTACATCATTCCGGATAACCTCCCTAGAGTCTGCTAGTAAATCCATGAGCCTTGAAACACCTGCAAGAAATAGGTAATGAAAAAATCAGCGCAGAAGCAAGTTCTCTTCCCCCTTCCCCTAAGAAGGGATGAAAACACCTTGCTAACAGGTCCTCTAGCCTTCTGCAATTGTTTTGGGGCTTCCCATTTCAAGTTCATCAACAATAAGCTGAACCACTTACCCATAGGGCTGACAAGAATGATCTGCTGCACCTGAGGTCCCTGCTGCTTTAAAAGAGATGTAAGTAGTTTCACCCCAGGCCAGCGAACGTGGAAATCAAATTCCTGCCAAGATGGAAAGGAGAACATTAAACAACAAACCCCTCAGTATACAACTTGCTCCTCTAAATCTTAGCTAAGAATAGAGACCAAAAAAAGTCTTTAAGCCTGCAGGACCATTTATTTTCTTGCTCATCTATTAGAGACTAGCGGCAGAAAGTCAAAAAACTGTCCTAAGTTTGTTTCTCTTTCATCATCAATAACATGAACCCCAGCAGTTGCTCTCATGCCTTCTGTCACAGACACTTTTCTTTGCCATCTCTTGTTCCTACAACACTCATCTCATTTGCACTTAATAAGCATCAGGTGCATTAAGCTRGCCTGAGTGCCAAGAGCTGCCCTTTCTGGAGCAGCACTTCTTACTATATATTAAAACTCCTTTATCCTGCATTACCCTGCTTGAAGCAGTACTGATGACCTTCATCCAGGTTGCTTCCTTCACTGCCACCATACATACGGTGTATGCATACAAGAGGCTGAGAACACTGGACATTTGACACAGGCTTCACCACAAAGGCTAAATCACAGCTTCACCCCTGTCGACAGCCTGCGACACCACCAATCCTGCAGCGTTCCAGCTGCACACAGCTACTCACCTCCACGAGGGTCAGCAAGAGCGTGACATTTTCCTGCTGTTTAATGAAAATCTCTGTGAACTGACTTCCCAAGTCGTCAGCTTGCTTCGGCACATTTTCTTCTGTAACAGCCAGAAACAATAGATCACGATATATCYTTCGAAAGAATGGGTCGTTGTGGGTTGTATTTTCATTACATTAAGGACACAGAGAACAACAAGGTTTAGAATATCACTGGTCTAATATTAATAAACTTAACTCATTTTTAAATACAACACTGCTTTAAGTTATACACAAAAAAAACAGACAGAAAGCATACATTATTATCAAGACAGGATCTCTAGCCAAAGAGCTGTTTTATTTTAAAAACAGAACCAAGAATCTACCAAAGGAAAAACCTAATTAGTTCCCATAGCAAGAAAAATGCTATTTTCCTGTCTCATACATGCTCATATTGACAGCTCTCACCACTCCACTTGCCTGTTACAGAGGTAAAACCCAGCATGCTCTGAAGTGACCCAAGAGTTAAGAGAAGGAGAACCCACATATTGAAAGGAGGAGTAGAAAACCCCCACACTTYAGTAGTTGAACACAGCCAAGAAGAACTCTCCGAGATGTTATCCCAAGGACCCTTCCTTATGACACTTACTGCACTAGCAAAGGATATTTCATTCCCCACCGACCCACTTGGCACCTAAGTTAAGTGGTTAAAGAACTTGATTTCGTTTCAGTTTAGAAAAGAGACCCAAACTTGTTCTGAAACCATTGACATCAAAACCTCTCAATAACCTCTCTGAATGGATTTCAGAAATAAGATGAAACATTTGTGCCATTATCTACTCTTTAATTGTAGGGCATCCAGGTAATGCATCAACTTGGTCATACACAACTCTTGTGTGTGTCACTATTGCACAGACAGATGCAAAAGTATCACAGAAGACAACAGAACAGACATAATCCACGCCTGGTCAACTCTTGTTTTTCTAGGCTGAGTGAACATTTTAACAAAGATAGTTCAGGTAAACCATCAGATTTAGGTACTCCTGGTTCAGTCCTGAAATTATCCACAGAAAAACTGCTGCTATGAGACAGCAAATCAACATCATCTTCTCACTTTTGACCGGAGGAGGATTTATTTCATTTAGCTCTATTCCAGTTTGAGAACTTGACTATCCAAATGATTATGAGCAGTTCCAACAGCAACAGGAATTCAGCCCTACCTGGCATAGTGACCATGGACATGAAATGAGTGTCTCCTTGAGTTTAAAAACACTTTGCTGCCATGCTTGCTTGTGTTTGCATACCGTTTTTCACAGCAGCATGGAAAAAATCGAAGGGCTAAAAGCATGTGAATTAACCATTTGTAAGTAGCACGTGCATTCACATATGCCACTCCTGGTAGGCACCCTCATTTCTACATCATCTCAGAGCCACTCCTGTCCCACCAAGCCACCAAGGCCACCACTTGCTCAGGTCCTACTCTATTTGCTCCCAAAAAAGTTTGTTAAAAAGTCAGATCAAGGCTGTTGATCTGAGCTGCAGAAAAGACTGTGATCATGATACAAATCAGAGCACCCTACAAATAATGCACAGGTTCATTCAGCACTTCAACACCATCCCCTGCTAGCTGGGAAAAAAAACCCTATACTCTGTAAAACCAAAGCATTTCTCAGCCAAAACCAAAGGTCTGATTTGGATCACTGAAAGCACCAGAGGATTGTGGTTGTCAACTGCAGAATTCACAGCCTGATCAAAGAGCTCCTAACAAACCCTCGATAACTAAGCACCTATCAACGGGGTCAAAGACCAAGCATAATCTTTAAACTCTGTACCTTGCTAGGTGTACGACAGAACCAATAAATGGAAGGACACTACCATAAAATTTTCTTCTGCTGGTGCCAAAAAAGCAATCTCAATTCTACCAATCCAATTTTCTTTCAAGTCCAAATGMGTGCTGATTCACTGCCAGCTTAGAATATCTTTCTTTCTATACAGGACTGGCCATAGAAGAAAGAGGTTTTCATCTGGTCTTGAAGTCAGACACTAGCTTATCATTTCTCCTATTGACTGTATATTTTTCCCATGGAGTAGACATTTTGTTAGGTGGCTTTCAMGAGAGAAAGAGAAGCAGGTCAGCTTAAGCAAAAGGAATCGTAAGATATGAAGACAAGGTGACAAAACAAGGACAAATRCACACGAAAATTCTTCAAAAGGAATCTAAAGTCTCTAGCAGAACTCAAGTAAACCTGATAAAGCTGAGGGGTCTCACAAGATCTCTTGTCCTATTTGACACGCAGAGAAAAAAAAAAGGGAAAAGGAAAAAAAATAAGGCAACTCTGCAGAAACTCAGTTGCTGAAGGGAGACGAACTTGCTACYGGGAAGCAGGAAGCAGCTCCGTTGAGAATCCCACACTGGCTGAACACACTGCAGCCTGCTGCAGTCAAGCGCCTTTTTTAAATCAACGCTCAACTATTTCATATTTCACTTGCAATTTGGTACAACCTGTGGCTGCACATCTTGTCCTTTTTTCCAAGCTCAACTAGCAAGCAGTGTTTCTATTTTCGATTACTTTTGATCCTAATCCTTTTCCTTGCACAATTTCTGGTGAATTTGTTTCTTGTGAAAGCTTGCCTCTAGTTCACAATCTCCTCTGTAACGGAGCCTAATTAAACTTGTCACCACCAGTGTTTCTTCTTCTACTGAATAGAAAACAGACAAATAAGGAGGAGCAAAAAGGCAAAGTAGGAAGGCCAAAGTGCATTTTCTATTTCATATATGGTTACACTGCAGACCTGTACAACCTGACTTTTCTCTGGGTTCTCTTGGCTTGTACATATTCACAAATGAGGGGAAAGACTTMAACTTAGCTCCTGATGATTCACCATTATCCAGCATTGCAAGCTAGTATTTCATCTTAAAACCAAGATTTAAAAAGTATTTTGGTACAAGCAGTTTAGGAAAAGAGACATACAAAGCATTAGTGGCAAGCTTAGGATTTAAGTGAACGCTCTTAGCATGCACTGGTTGTAAGAGACACTGTGAAGAGCATGTGTTGTGTTCATATGGTTGAGTCAGCTTCCCAAAAACAGGAACTCTGCCGCCCGCCCCTGCCGCCCATCAAGATCCAACCAACACCACGGCTGCAGGCTTGGATGACATGATATACAAGGATTAGTCATTACTACAATCTCAGGAGAGCTCCTAATATCCAACTTGCCCAACAAGTTGAATGAAAACTACTGAATCAAACACAAATCTAAGTGGAAGGTACTTGAGCACTAAACCAAATTTATATTTCAGGGGAGACTGCAAGAAGCCTTGCCTGACCTTCACTAGGAGTCTTTACAGTGTCCTTGTTAACAGCAGAGAGGGTTAGGAGTGTGACGAGTAAGACTAAAACCAAGTGCCATATTTATATAAGTAAAGATTCTTTTACCTTCAGAATCATCTGTCAAAGCGAAAAAGAGAAAGAAGAGAAATGTTCACAAGCTTTCCAAACAGTACAACAGTAGCACAAGCTTGGATTGCCCAAGCAGTCATCGTTGCTTTGCGAGGCAAAAGCTGCTACTTGAGGTTTTTCTCATAGGAGGAACTGAACAGAACAACATCTTACTTGAACAACGCTGGTGTTGGCACACACACCACACAAGCCCATCAGTTCTTTGCTCTTCTCCAGCAACTGCTAACACGCTTGTGAAGAGCTCTGAACCAYACCACTACCAAGGGCATTCACCAATATTGCTTATTTGGGCTGAACATCAGCATCACATAACTCCAATTTTATTCTAATCCTATTTCAATGCCAGGCAAGAGTATAAACAAGCAAAAGAAGGGCAAATAAGCAAAGCAATAAATTGGCAATCTCAGATTGTTAAGTATAGGAGGGACTTGAGCTTGCAAGTCTTTTTTGTAGCAACACAGGGCAAGGTTAATGAATTCTTGGGGAAACTGTAAAGTACATACAGCATGATATGATGCCAAAGTCCTGGCAGAAATGCAGACACACCAGACAGGCCTTGCCCACTTTCCCTTCAGGGCACCTATTACTTGTTTAAACATCCTTTAAGGAAGGATYTGGGGATAAATATTTCAGACAAGAGACTGCATCCTAACAGCCAGCATCATCTTATATTTTGAAAGGCAAAAATTAGGCTTTGGTAGCAGCATTTGCACTCTCAGTATATATACTGCAAACCAGGAACAAGACACTAATAAGCCTCGAGGTCCATGMCAGAGGCCAGATGCTATGAATGCAGACACTGGGCATGCCTGAGGAGACACTGCTCGTTTCTCATCGTGCAGCATCCACTTCAAAAAGCCTTGACTAAGAGCGTAAGTCTTAACTAGTCCCCGGGCTGCCCGTTAGGCATCTGGGAAATAAGCCTCTTCAAGTCATTTTTAAAACACAGATGCATAAATGCGTGTTTATTCTTTAGATTATCCAGGGAAGGAAAGGAAAAGCATTATTTTCTGAGGAGCTGTTGCAGGGCTAGCAAACAAAGGTCTCAGTCTCCTATACAGCTACTTCAGTGCAGGCACCCAAGCTTTCATCTCTTGCTGTTGCCCCAGCCCCATTAGATAAAAACAGGCAGAATCTTCTTTTGCAAACAGGAAAAGGACTTGATTCTTTACAAACAAGCAGCTAGGCCACTGCAACTGGCTGCTGTTCACAAAAGGGATTTCTAAAGAAAGGGAATGCCCCAGAGGACCCAGCAATACTTTGRAACAAAACTACCCCAAGCAATTTCCTGGAATGTCTTAGTGGCTGCACAGCCATAAGGAAAGTCTCCCTATTAGTGAATTGCACACCAGGAGTTTAGAATTTGAACAAAGGCATCAAGAAAGCACCTCCCCAGTTAATAACAGTCATTACCCAGAGCTTACCTTGCTCCTCCTCTTCGAGGTCATTCGATATTATATTGTAGAGAGTGTCCAAAGCATAGCCAATTATTTCAGAATCTGAACTGTGAACAGAAAAACACTTTAATGACTGACTTTGTATAAAGTAGTCTTACAGTTTATGCTTTATAACACTGCTTTTCCATACGGCCAACTCCCTTTGCAGCATTATGGAGAAAAAAAGGAAGGACTGATGCTGACATATTGTAGAACACCACATTTTTACCAACCAAGAGTTGCCTGGTCTTTAAATGAAGTTAAACTATTTCTCCCGGGTGCATTCCCTCAGGTGGCAACATCCAGAAAGTCTAGTGACCCAACAAAAACCACACAAAGTTTCACTGTAACCATGCCTTGTATTTCCTGAGTCATACCCCGCCAGCTGCTCTTCAGGTATATGAGACACCCGTCTGCTAGGGATTCAGCACTCATTCCCAGGACGTCATCCAAGGAAAGTGCAGCTGAGCTGCAGCACTTTGGCATGGTCGTGGAAAAGACCTCAACGGCTGCTTCCCATGTCCCATTTCAGTGCTCGCTCCAGGGGAACAGGACCACCACAACAGTGCCTTCTGCTGCACAGACCAGTGTAAATGCCGCCGACACCAACTACACCCTCCCATTAAGAGCTTTCCAACCTCACCTAGAAGCTAACGAGTAGCCAATCTAACCTAAAAATCTGCTCACACCAGGACTCTTAATAAACCAGTCGCCAGTTTGTCAGAGCAAACCCATTTCTTCGGCATTCATTCTAACTATGTTACAAATCCTGGACAGCAAGTGAATTCTAAGCTACCACAAAGCAGCAGTGCAGGAGTTGCTCACTTGGGGTGAATAAAAGCATTAACATGTTGGCCACTTACTGAAGGTTTCCTCCTAATGCAGACCACAACGAGGGCAGCCCGGCTGCTCCAACACGCACAGCGCAAACGCCCTAACCCATCCCGTCCCTGCCACGTCTCGGCCAAACATCCAAGGAGCCCTCTGCCCCAACAGGGCCTCTCCTCCTCATTTCTGCGCAGCTATTCCTGCTAGCTCTAATCCCCACGGCATTCCGYGCAAGGCTTCCTTCCACACAAATGAGAACTTGCACTTGAAGGAGCTACGAGGCTAGCTCACAGCAAAGGTCTAAAGACAACTCGCCCAACACGCGGGCATACAAGCAAGCCCTAGCTTAGGCCAGCTACATCTACTAGACCATTAATTAAAGAGGTCAGACCTGTCTTAGGTGTTGCAAGCAGGAAAACCCGACCTGCCGTYGTGGCGAGACTGGGAGCCCAAGGGTGCCATCCACAGCTCCCCTGCTGCAGCACCACAGCACGGGCTGCGGGCGCTCTCCAAGCCACRTGTGACCTCCCTAAGAGCCCCACGCTAGTCCAAGCCCAACAAGGCTGGAGTCACYGGGTCTCAGAAACACTCCTCCTCTCACGTTGGATTTTCACCTGAATCCTTGCCCTGCTGCTGTCCCTCTGGGGATTCTCRCATATCAGTTTAGGCTCAGTCTATGTCAGGCAGCTTGCACCACCGGCTTTTGTCTGTAAGGGAAATAAACAAAACTTCCTCTGGCAAACTGGTAGTCAAAGCAAGTAAAGGAAGCCTTTAGTCTATTTCAAGAGCCTCATCCAGCATATATGCTCACATTTCCAGATGGCCTGTTTGCCATTTTGTAATTGTCATGCTTGGACAGAACAGTACTACCAAACCTGCATTTTCTGGTAACCACAACACCTGAAAGCTACACTGAAGTGAACCCTGCAGACTTTAAGAAACAAGTAAACAAAACTTCAGCATTGCTTCTCTTTGCCTTACTCCTGCGAGGAAAATCCCAGCTGCTAACAAAGTACTACATTTCACACAGATGCAYGAAAAGCCAGCCTTTTCTTTTCCTGGAGGGAAACACATCACAGAATGAGGACAGTAGCACTGCAGCCACTCATGCTATTCCCTAGCTTGCTTCCATCTGCTGTTCATWACATGCAAAATTATTTTATCCATTATATTCCATTCAGACTGAAACCGTGCAGCATTTGCTCCATAAAGTCACGTGTCAGAAATTACATTCGTAGTCCCTTGGGCACCCATGAAAGATGCAGCCTTCCTGCAATGCAATAATGCTGGCTGCGCCATCGGAGGCTCTTCCCCTCCACTGCTTGTGCTAACAGGGGCACTCCACGAGACGGCCAAGGCCGCGCCGCACGAGTCACTCAAYGATGACAACAGAGCAAAATTACATGGAAGTGAAGGCAGCCATGGCCACCGAGGGTACCTCAAAAAGCCTTTAGCTCCTTTTCAAACATTAAGGCAGCACAGTGTCAGAATACAGATAAGATTTGTCTTTACTGCCAAGTAGAGCATGAAGAAGCCAAGTGTCTCTCCCAAAGTGAGCTATGAAAGTGTGCCTGGAGAGGGCCACAGATTGTGCCCCCTAAAGCTGCTTCTCATGAAAGAGTGACCCAGGGAGATAAAGATGAAGACATCTTACCTTTCRCTGTATAGTAAAAAGCATATCACAGCTCTGAACATCTGGAAATGACAGCATTGAGACCTGTGCAGTAACTTAGTAGTTTCAAAAAATATTTGACTTCTGTAACCTTACCCTTAGACCAGTCTCTTCTAACACATTTCAAATGATTAGAACTGGCACACTGAAGTTCCAAAACTTAAGAAAAAAACAACAAGCAAAGTCACGTTCACTTTTCATTCTGGTGCCTTCTCCTACAGCAACAGTTAAGTGGCACTGGCCTGCTTTACAGTCAATGCCAAATTATTTTTAACCTCCCTGGTGGGATGTGGCAATATCTAGACAGCAAGTCAAGAGAAGAAATGTTTCTTYAGTAGCTCCCCATTCCTAACTCATATTACAAAACCAGCATGTGGTATAAGAGCACTGGTTGCATGCGAGTCTGCCTCTGCAGATTCTCTGCAGATATTTAAAGGCTGCCTCAAGAATGTTATCAAGCTCTGGGACAGCTGATGTGCCTAGCTGGAAAACTGTAACAAAAATCGTTTTTCTACAGCATACMTTAAGTGCTCACATCTCACAAAGGAAGGAGACTTTTTTTATGCAAGGAAAGAATAACAAGTGGGACAACCTGTGCATTTGTAAAAAAAATTGTACAACACGTACAACATGTTAAAGACAAAGGGTACCTTTCTGCTCTAGTATAAAGGCAGCTGTAAGAAAGGGAAGCTGCCGGTAGCCACTGTGGACAATCTAAGGATAAATATAAGAACCAGATCTAAGAAGCACTGACCATTTCAGCATAGTCACAGTGTCAACCAAGCCCTTTTCCTAGCRAAGGCTTAAGATGCTGAAGAACTTTCAATGCTTCTCTCTAACTTCAGAATTAACAAAGTACCAGCATGACTTACACAGACCTAAAGAAAAACACAATTCACTACACAGGAAGTGAGTAATTATCACAGAAAGGAGACTGCAAATGGGAGAAAAGGAAAGATATTACATGCACTACCTCTCTTTGTCACATCAGTTGCCCAAAAAAGGAGCAAGTGATTCACCAAAATCAGGAGACACACTCAAGAGGAAAAAGGACTCCTCCATCCGCTTCTTTRAGTTCCAGGGCTACATGAATGAGAGGTAACACAATTAACAAAAACCCTGCCACTGAATTTGTTGTCAATATGTAATAGTATAACTTGTCTGCACTTGTCACTAGTCTCCGCCTCATGATGACAGTAACCASCCTTGTTACTTTACACACACACCGGCTCTCCTAACTCGATGACCCACACCTGCCGTTGGCTCTTGCCCAACACTTCTCTCCTGCCTCACCTGATACAGGTCAGTCAAGCCCTGTTTCTACTCAGCTGAGACCTGGGTGGGAATCCCTTGAGTTATGAACACATTCCAGAAGAGAAAAAAAACACTGTAACAGGGGTATAATCAAAACATAAAATTTAACATGCCCCCAAAACCCACCACATTTGTGAAGCTGCAGCCATTGAGCTTTACGTCCAGAGCTCAGCTCCCACTGAAGCTAATAAAACAATCACTGTAAAAACAATGCCGTCTTAAAACTAACTTCCAGGAAAGAGGTCATTCTTCTAAGCTCAGCATACTATTATTTCTAATCCAATTAGACTGAGAGTAATCTCAACCTTCAAAGGAGCAGTCATACAGGACCAGCTCTTACGAGTTACTCAAATACTGACATGAAAAAAAACATGAGCCAATTTTATTGACATTTTTTTCCTCCTGAAATAGGTTTACTTTGTCTTAAAAATAAGTTGCAGGGCATATTAAAAAACACACAGAAGGAAGCAAGCTATTGCACTTCGGCACAAAACTTCAGGACACCTGTTAGACAACAGAAAACTCCCTCCAAGAATGAACGTCAAGGCACAAACTCAGGTGCAGGTGACACCAGAGCAGCACTATCCTGGATCAGATCACCATTCAAAAYGCCAGCTTCATTAGGCAGCAGGGACAGGCAAGCTCCATCTCATTGATCTGCTCCTGTTTTGCATGAGCTGACATGGGTTGCTCTCCCCACAACAGAGCAAGCCTCCAAAGCCTTAGCACCGCTCTCCAGGCAGCCTGACAAACAGGCACATCACACGCAGCACTGACCAGAACTTGATGACAAACAGGACTTACAGCTACACCTCTCACATATCAATCAGAGCAGCCGCTCTGGTCTGGTCTGATGTGCTGGTCCACTATAGAATGTGCAAGGACAAATTCAGCTATCAGTGTTTTGGGGGAGCCTTTTCTTTTTAAATCTACAATCCTGCAAAACCTCAAAAGCACCAGGGTGCATTTAATGCTTGCTGAGCTGCAGTCTGAGTCACACAACACATCCAAGCAGAGCTGGGGCACACGCCAACTCGGAGAGGACAAATAGAGCCCAAAGAGTCCGGAGAAAATCCCTTCAGATCACAAGTGGAGGGATCAGTTTAGCATCTCAAAGTAAAGGAGATCAGCAGAGCTCCACCTCCCTTCTTCAAGTTCAGACCTGGCCTCAGAAGCAACTAAGTGGATGAAAGCAGCCTCCTTGACCTAATTTAATGAAAGGCTTCCCCCCCATGTGAAGGGCTAACACCAGCATCCTTTGGATTGTTCTCATCACACAAGTTTTATACAACTCACAGAGATTGAGGTTTAACAGCAAGTAACATAGAGATCGAACAGACTCTTCAGACAACAGCTGCTACAGCCAGTCTGCACACAACAGTGCCAGTTAGTCACTGAAAGGTCTSTTCTCTTGCATAACCATGTGGAGCAACACACCTCCATCCCAAGAGCTCATGAGGCACCATTCTGGCTGCTCAGCTGCTCTGTTGCTCATTTCTTTTCATCTAAAGATTATAAGGTATCCTCCTGCTCGCTCCACTTGTGTTCACATGCAAATATTCAGTCTAGGCCCTTATTATATCCTGCCCTTTACCAGGTTCGTGTTTGAGTTGAGGCCAAAAAAGACCTTGCCCACCTAAGCATTAACAATAATCTTGACTATAAACACCTGCATTATTCCTCATGGCAACTGTTCCCCCAATTCACTTAGAGTTCCCAGAAAAAAACCCCGACTTGATTTAGTTTTGTAAACCTTCTCCTTCCATAACTGAGAAGTCAGAGCAGCGCCCGCGTTGGCCGGTTTCAGTGGAGCGCAGCACTGTCCCCGGAGGCGGCTATCAGGAGCCGGCCACACGCTTACCGGTCCGTCTGGAGAACATGGATAAGGTGCTCCATGGCCTGTATGCCCACTTCCAGGCGGTATTTCTGGCGAGAGAGAGAATTTACGGTTAACGATCCAGTCCAAAAGGCCAAGGAGCTTTGTGAAGCGCTACGCTACCCACGTGTTACATAGCTGAGGGACGTACAGGAAGTGGAGCCCATACCTTGGACAAGGATTTGAGGGCGCGCACGGCATCCCTGCGGTCATCCAGCAAGGTGGAGGAGGCCACTCGGTCGCACAGCTTCTGGATCTGCGGAGGCGCGAGGCACAGGGCAGCGCTGAGCGCGGCCGCGGCGGCCCCGGGCCGAGCCTGCGGCGGCACGGCGGCCGAGCCCGGAGGCGGCGGCCGAGCCCGGAGGCGGCG